TGTCCACGGAATGGACGCTCGACGTCGACTCATTCAGTTGGCCCTGCCAGTCGTATGGGCTCCCGGTGGTGGACTTCTTCGCATCAGCATGAGTGTGGCATCTCCCGTTGTATGTGGTGCCCTTCCCTGATGGCGAGGCCGTCGGGGTCAGTGCCTTGCGGCAGGACTGGTCGAGGTGGGGTTACCTGTACCTCTTCACCCCGGTTCAGCTGTTGTTCCAGGTCCTAGCCCACTTGGAAACTTACCAAGGGAGAGTAGTCCTCTTGGCTCCTTGGTGGTTAGCCCAGCCTTAATTTCAGGCGCTGCTTGCTCGATGTCCGTACTCTGGGGTCTTCCTGCAGCTCCGCCTCTTTCAGCAGATTGGTCCGGTCCGTTACGTGGCTGGTTCGATCTTCTCCTCGAATCTTCGTGTCTGGTCTTTCTGATTTCAGTCTATCACCATTTGTATGGTAAGCAGGTGGCTTCTATGATGGCACTCAATGATGGTTGTTGATGCTTGGTTGGTTAGGCCGGGGGTGCATCATGTGTTGTCTCCGGTTGTAGCTCTCCACCAGTACCTGTGCGCCACAGCCTTTGGGTTGACCTGGTTTCCCCTCTTCCCTGTTCCAGGGTTCGGATCACTCAGGTCGTCTGCAGGGTTATTTGTTCCAGCCATCCTGTGGTCTATCCTTGTGCCCACAACGTTCGTAAGTTTGCTGCACTGGCTGCCGTCTTCGGTAACGTGTCTTGGGCTGACATTAGGGCACAGGGTTTTTGCAGGTTGAACAGGGTCCTGGCCGCTCGCTACCTTGTCAGTGTTCCTGGGCCTAGTCGGGCCTGTGTCGCATTGGGTCAGCGGTTGCACCCAGTTGTCTCGACTTTGCGTTAAGGAGCGAGGACCTACCGCCTCCCGGATAAGTCCCTCTTGTTTTGTCTTTAGGTAAGTAGCACCAAGGACCCGAAGGGGCTTCCCCTAGAAAACCAGTGTTGAATGTAGCAAAATGCCATGTTTTGGGTGAGACCCGGTGGCTCCCTGGCAACCCTCCCTTCCTCCGGTCGGCGGTTTTTCACGTGTTTGACATCCAGCCTTAGAACTGGGGTGTGGATAACCGGTGCGGGGGTCTGGGTCTCAACCACCCCCTTACCCCTCCCGGGAAGAGGGGGGTTTTGCGCAGACAGCAGTGCAGTGACGTGGTGACATCATGCTCATTTGCTCGTTTTCATTTGGAGGGTTTCTGTCCACTAGTTCAGCTTTCAGTAGCAATATTTTAACCAGAATAGGGGTTTGTTTTGGAGCGCTGACCTTTCTGGGTGCCTGACCCGCTCGATAGCAGACATAGAATGCTTCCAACCGCACGGGAGTTTTTATAGGCAATTTCTCCTCGTGCCTCTCTCTGAGGGGGTCAGGCTCTGGTTCTTGGTCCCAGTTAGGCCTAGAACTCCATGTGCACTGACTAATGCCAGGGTCTAATACATTCATATCAGCCTAGTTAGCTCTAAGGAGCCTCCGGATCTCATCCGGAAAATGGAATTTCATTTCATTCAATGCTGGTTTTTTAAATTTGGTACCACATTTGCCTTCTTCCAGCAACTGGGCAACTCTCCCTTCATAAGTGACTCATAGATCCTTACTAGAGGCAAGCTGAGGGCCTTCACTGCCTCTTTAGTATTCCCGGTAATACATTGTCTGGTCCAACTGCTTTAGTTTCATTCAGTGTGTTGTTAACTGTTTCATTACCTCCTCTGCTGTCACTTCTATGTCCGTTAGTCTTTCATCTTGGGTCATCTCCTCATCTAACAATGGGAGCCGCTCAGGCTCGGTTGTGAACACTTCATGGAAACTGGCATTCAATACCTCGCAGACTGCCTTGTCAATTTCCGTATATGTCCCTTCTGTTTTCCATAGTGTTGTCATTTGGTCGTTCACTGACATTTTCCTTCTTATATGACTATGTAGTAATTTATGTTGCTTTTTTGTTTTCATTGCAATATCGCTTTCATAATTCCTTTCTGATACTATTCTGATACAGGGGTACCTCAGTTTACGAATTTAATCCATTCCCAGCGACGGCTAGTAATCCGAAAATTCGTAAACCGAAGCGAATTTCCCCATAAGAAATAATGGAAAATTATTTAATCTGTTCTAGACTCCCCAAAAAATTAACTTCAAAGTAAATTTTATACCTAATTCACCCAAATCTTCAGTACAAAAGTATGTACAAGTTATTACTTACCTTTACTGATGACTCCTGTTGGAGTATGGAAGACGGTGAGGATAGGAAGAGGAGGAGAGGTGATACTGTTTGGAAGGGGAGTCCCCTTCCATTATAACATCAGGCAGTGATGACTTCTCTGGGAACACTCTCTGACATGTTTTGCCTACATATCACTAGGACCTGGTTGTGGCTCACGGCTTGCTTGTCTTACTAAGAATCTGTCTAAAGACACTTGTTTTTCCCTACGTTTTAACACTTGTCTGTAGTAAGACATCACATTGTCATTTAAAAGGTCAATGTAATGGCCTGCTACAGCTTTATCTGGGTGAGTTTTTTCAACAAAACTTTGCAGCTCTTCCCGTACTTCACACATTTTCTTAATGAGGAAGGGACATCCTCTACTGCCTCTACTCACAACTATTTTCTTAGGTTGAACCTTACCACTGACTTTCTTGGGACCCATGGCAAGATATATAATAATTACTTTCATGTTCAAATACCCAAAAACCCGAAAAACACTGAAATTCTTTACAAAGAATTTGGGCGCGATTGTCACTAGGCGGGAGCCACTGGTAAACTGAGGCGCGATCGCCGTGCCACCATGCTCTAGGTCCGCCCATGCGCATATCAACAAATTCATTTCCTGAGGCAAAGTTCGTAACCCGATTCAAATTTTCCGAAGAAATTGGGGTCGTAACCCAAAAAGTTCGTAAAGAGGGGCATTCGTAAGCTGAGGTCTCTGTACTTTCTCCACTCCCTCCTGCTTCTCATTTTTGCTTCCTGCCCCTGTATTAAACCATGAGTTTTTATATTCCCTCCTACTTTTTTCCTTAATCATTGGTATAAAACTATCTTCGGCCTTCTTACATTTCCACTTGCCTATGTCCATCATATCTTGCACTGTTTTTCCTCTTAGTTCTTCTTCTCACTGCACTTCTCTCAGATATTGTCTTATCCTCCTGTAATCCCCTTTCCAATAGTCTACTCTCCTTTCCCAGACCGTTTGTCCCTTGGTCACAATTTTAAGCTCGACAATGTAGTCAAAGACTTGGACACAATGGTCACTGGTTCCTAGTGGTATTTCATGTTCCATATTTATAATGTCTTCCTCATTCTGGGTGAAATTCAGGTCTAAGAGGCTTGGCGTATCCCTCCTCTTTCCCTTGTGTTTTCATTCACATGTTGTGTTAGGAAATTCCTGTCTATAACTTCCACTAATTTTGCTCCCCACGTTTCTTCCCTACCATGAGGATTTCTTGATTCCCAATCAAACTCTCCATGATTGAGGTCCTCCATGACCAACAGTTTTGCTCTCATTCTGTGAGCTGCGGTTGCTGCCCTCTGTAGTTCATCTATACATGTCTTGTTATCATCATCATACTCCTGTCTGAGCCTTCTACTGTTTAGTGGGGGAGGGGGGAGGTGTCCTAGACTCTTACCAATGCACATTTTCACTTTATTCATAGTATTGTTTATGTTTTGAGAAGCCACTCATAGGAAATGAAGGTTCCTTCCTCAGTCGGCAGCAGTCAAAGCACATACCTGTCATAATACAGTACTACATTTTAGTGTTATGGGGGACTGGTTGCAATTAGAGGTAAGATTAAGATTCAATGAATAAGATGTTGTAGATGGTCATCGTTCATATACAATCTGTTATTACTTTCTGATAACTCTACCTATAATCCCTTGTCTCCTTTGATATCGTTGATGGTTCTTCTGGTGTAAATAATTTTGATTATTATTTATAAAGAAAGTAGGAGAGTTGGGTTCATTCTTGACTCACACCTGGCAATTCCGGGTTTGAATCCCAGCAAGATAAAAATGATTGGGCACATTTCCTATCGCCTAATACCGCTGTTCACCTAGCAGTAAATAGATATCCAGGAGTTAGTCAGCTTATTGTGGGGGTTGCATCCTGGGGAGGGTCAGTAGTTCGACCTTGGGGAACATCGATATAAGCCTAGTGTACATATACACAAGCTGCCTGACTACAGGAATTAAGCATTTTTTATATTAGGTTGTGTAGCTTTTATTTAGTATGAGAGAAACAATCACACACAGCATTTTGAGTAATATTAATGGGAATTGTTGATGCATTGCTTGTGTCCAAAGCATGTCAATATATGGAGGGGGATGAAGGTGGGGGTGTGGGACGACCCATGTGGAGGGGCTCTGGCAGCACCGGTACACTTTTTCTGGTTTTGGGCTTACTTCAATAATGGCTGCTGGTATGTCAGCTTTCCTCTTCTCCTCCCAAGATTATTCATGGCACATCTTGGTAACTAATACTTGTGAGAGAATATTTTGAGTGCTTCTGTAGTGATGATACACTTTACTTCTGTGTGTATACTGTACTGTAGAGTGTAGTGTGTGTGTGTGTCGGTGTTGTTGCACAGTGTGACCATGTCTTTCATGACCTCCTTGTACATACTAACAGTCTCTCTACCATCCTAGCACAGATTCTCTTCCCGCAGTGACTCCACAATGAACAGTTTCTCTACATTCTCAACCACACTTCAAGCAACTTGCCACAACAATTTACTTCCATAATAACTTTCACCATTGAAACTTTCTGTAAACATTTCCCTACAATAGAGTAACTATTATTAATTAGTCTCCCAAGTACCTGTATAAATTTGTATTCCTAATTAATGATACATTAATAATTGCCCCCATTATTACCCCTTGTTTCTCAAGCAAGAGCCAATGCCCTTTAACATAAGTTATGTCCACAATGAAGCTGTTAAATTTGCATTTCTAATTATATAATTTTCCCCCCTCCCCATCTCTTTAATGCTGTAGAAGTGTGAGGTGCAAAAAATTGCATAGGGGCTACTACGGCTGGTGAGTCCACTAAGACACTGTGCACGTTGTGTTGCTTTTTACTGAGGCTGAGTGAAGTCAACAGACTGTGACAGTTTGACCAGGTAGTTGGTTTAAGGCAACCTAGTAATTAAAGGGCTCAAGGCAGTTCTGCTTCAGCATATTGTTTTCGATTCTTGGAAGCCTTGCAAACATGAATGTATTCATATTAAGCATTTTATTCAATGTCTACAATTTTGTTATCAGATATTAACGTGATAGGTGCTGTGCTATACCTGTGATATATGAGAATACAGTATGGCCTTGAAATATAATACCCCTTAGCAACAAATTTGATTGTAGATAGAAATGTTATCCACTATACTGTAGATGGCACTCACTCACTCACAAGGTGTTTGTGAGTGAGGGGAACATTGTCTGCAATACCGTAGATGGCACTCACTCACAAGGTGTTTGTGAGTGAGGGGAAACATTGTCTACAATACTGTAGATGGCACTCACTCACTCACAAGGTGTTTGTGAGTGAGGGGAACATTGTCTGCAATACCGTAGATGGCACTCACTCACAAGGTGTTTGTGAGTGAGGGGAAACATTGTCTACAATACTGTAGATGGCACTAACTCACAAGTGGCTTGTGAGCGAGGGGAAAAATTGTCTACATTGAAGTAGTGTTGCCAAGTGGTGTTTAGCTTAAACGCACCAGCGGCTATTGCTTTACAGCCATTATGTAGTTATTAAAATCAGTTTGACTTTCTTGATATTTTACCTAAATGCTGTTATAAGCAGTAAATAGTTTACCCGAAATTTAATCTCCCTTATTTAACCATGGAATATTTAAAAGCACTTTTCTCTATAGTATGTGTGCACTTGAGCAAGGTTTGTTAAATATACATTAAGTACAGCGACAAATGTGGATGTTTACAGGTGTTGAAGCCCTTTCCTTTATAAAGTGAAGCTCTTCCCTTGCCCCTCCCTTGCTGCAGTAACCAGTCACCTTAGACTGTGTAACATGGCTTCATTACCATCAGTTGTCACATACTGCATCATATATAAGCAACTTTGTGTATTAAGAGAGGGATGTTATGCACATAATCTTATTTGTATACACTCATGTCACTACACAGCTCTTAACATATTTTGTTACAGATTTGTAGCATACATAGCATGCGCTGAATATTTCTTTACCAATTTTGTATGTTGATTTGACTCTTGAGCAAGATGGTGAGCTCGTTGGGGTAAAAAAAGAAAAGAATGCAGTGTACGAATGTTTTCACGAAGGCGACTCTTTTCATATTTGTCTTTTGGTGAAAGCAGGTAGAGAGGAATGGTGGTTAACAAAACATTACTTTAAATATGCAACAGACTGTATATGAATGTTGTCAGAAAAATTTAATCCCTATCGAGAAGGTGTGTACAGTGAAACCTCGACTTACGAATGCCTCAAGTTATGACCCCAATTTCGTCTGAAAATTTGACTCGACTTACGACCTTTGTCTTGACTTGCGACATTGTTGATACACATATGAGTCGACCGAGAGCGTGGTGCACTTCAGTTTACCCATTTCTCTCGTCTAGTGATGATCGTGCTTGAATTCTTTGTAAAGAATTTTGTTGTTTTTCTGCTTCTGTGGTTTTTGAACATAAAAGTAATTATTATATATCTCACCATGGGTCCCAAGAAAGTCAGTTCTTACCACTGCTGGGTAAAACCTTACACCCGGCAGTGGTAAGGTTTAACCTAAGAAAATAGTTGTGAGCAGAGGATGTCCCTTCCTCATTAAGAAAATGTGTGAAGTATGGCAAGAATTGCAAAGTTTTGTCGAAAACTGTAGCAGGAAATAGGGGGAAGTTTGTTTCTTAGAGGCTATAAACTTTTTCGAACTCGTCCGACGCCAGGCAGGAACCGAGGATGCAGCAGGCATTCCCCCTCTGGATCGCTACACTGAGGTGCTGGAAGAGAAAACTTGCTGCTCTAGGGGTCTCTAGTAGTGTCAAACCTTCTTGCGCTCTTTTCCCATGGACCTGGGGTCTCAAATCCTATTGGAACGAAGTTGTACCAGTGATCTATTTCCCTGTACGCGATTGACTTACCTCTTTCTCTGTGTGTCCTCGCGGCTCCTGCTTGGCCGACAGAGAGGTCAATGTATGCGGTTGCCATGGTGGATACACAAGTGTAGCCCTACGCCAACTGTCTGCCACCCTTGTAAAAGCGTAGTGTGATTCCATCTGGTCGGCCGGTAAAGATAGCAGAGTTACATTTCAATAGATTGCAGGGCTCTCTCTCTGCTGGACACTGGCCACAGGCAAGGCTACCTTTAAATGATGTCATTGACTTTGTTGTGTCTAGAATGCCAACCGCCAGATTTTCCACAGTCCATATTTGTCTGCCTCTGTCTTGCCACAAATACACCTATGAACAGTGTAGATAGGGGCAGCAAGACGGAGAGCGACTGCAATACGGAGCTGCTGTGGATCAAGATGTGTGCCTGTCACAGATATAGGGACTGCCAAAAGGAAGTCCCCTGCATTTGGAGCCTGCACAGCTGTAAGGCATGCACGATCACTGGGGGTTGTTGCTGCCTCCAGCAAAGCTGTGGCTTCTTTATCTATAATGGGGCTGTCCCAGGTGGATTGTTTCTTAGCTTTCAACATGGTTGGTCTGAATGCTGGGTCTGCCATGGTACCCCATTTTGTGTCGCATTCCGTATAGTTGGAGTCCTGTATCCCTGCTAAGTCACACAAGTTGTCAGGTAGAATTTCCTTAACCAGGTCATCTGATGCCAAGAATGAAGACAGGAAGGCTGGGTCAGCAATTTGGGTGGCAGTGCAGGTACCCAAGCCGCCAAGCCTGACAGGAAGAGTGGTTTGTTTCCACTGACATTCATTGAGGGAGAGGTTGACAACTTTTTCTAGCATGGTCTTCAGTAATAGGTCATAGTCTTCAAGCTTTTAGCTGTCGTAGGATGTGGTGCACCTCAGAAAGTAGGTTAGCCTTGGAAGGGATAATCATTTAATATATATGCAGTGGTACCTCGAGTAACGAATTTAATCCTTTCTGGCGCTGTGCTCGTCAAAAAAAAAAAAATTACAAGCAGATGTCAACAAAGTTTTCGATTGGGCAGCAGAAAATAACATGATGTTTAACAGTGATAAATTTCAGGTACTCAGGTATGGCAAAAATGAGGATCTGAAACATAATACAGGGTACAAAACACAATCGAATCTTCCCATAGTAGAAAAACAGCATGTCAGGGATTTGGGAATAATGATGTCCGACGATCTAACATTTAGGGAGCATAACCAAGCATATATTACGTCAGTCAGAAAAATGATCGGATGGATTACGAGAACTTTCAAATCCAGGGATCCCATCACAATGGTTGTACTCTTCAAGTCACTTGTGTTGTCCCATCTCGAGTACTGCTCAGTACTCACTTTCCCCTTCAGAGCAGGAGAGTTTGCTGAAATAGAGGGAATACAGAGAACATATACGGCACGCATAGACGAGATAAAACACCTAAATTATTGGGATCGTCTCAAAGCTCTCCAAATGTACTCTCTAGAAAGGAGACGAGAGAGATACCAAATAATATACACATGGAAAATACTGGAGGGACAGGTCCCAAATCTTCACAGTAAAATAACAACGTACTGGAGTGAACGATATGGAAGAAAATGCAGGATAGAACCAGTGAAGAGCAGAGGTGCCATAGGCACAATCAGAGAACACTGTATAAACATCAGAGGTCCGCGGTTGTTCAGCGTCCTCCCAGCGACTATAAGAAATATTGCCGGAACAACCGTGGACATCTTCAAGAGAAAACTGGACTGTTTTCTAAGAGAAGTGCCGGACCAACCGGGCTGTGGAGGGTATGTGGGCCTGCAGGCCGCTCCAAGCAACAGCCTGGTGGACCAAACTCTCACAAGTCAAGCCTGGCCTCGGGCCGGGCTTGGGGAGTAGAAGAACTCCCAGAACCCCATCAAGCAGGTATCAAGCAGGTCATGTGAAATGCTCGTCTTTTAAACGAATTTCCCCATTTAACATATTGGTAATAAAAATAATCCGTTCCACCACCGAAAAGCATCAATATGATGTTCGATTTTTTAAATAATGGAGCATCCTATCAGATATACTGTACACTGAACGAACCGTTATGACATTTGTCCGTTTTTCAATTTTTTTTATTTTTTGGTTTACTTTTTTTATAGCAAAAGGTTCGTTCGATGTTTGTCAGGTAGGCTGCTCCATGTTTGTTAAAAACTAAAATAAATAAATTAAAAAATTTGAAAAAAGAACAAATGTCAAATAGGTTTGTTCGGTGTTTGTCAGGTAGGATGTTCCATTATGACAATCTTTCTTTGTTTCAAATGTGTTCAATTTGTTTTGTATTTTTCATTTATTTATTAATAATGGAGCAGCTACCTGACAAACACTGAACAAACCTTTTTGACATTTTTTTTTTATTCTACAACAAAAGTCAATGCTTTGCAACATCACAGCAGTCACCCTTTTACATCCCAGCATCATTAGCATCTATAAACAAAGCAAAAATTTTATTTGCATCTTCGGAGGCGTCCGAGAATGTGCAAGAAGCAGCGGGAACGCACCATGTGGTTTTCTAGTTAATCAAACGAGCGATCGCCAATTGAGACAAATTGTCGGCAATTGGCTCGCTCGTTATTAAAAATGCTCGTAATTTGAGGCACTCGTCACTCGAGGTTCCACTGTGTATATATATTATATTACACAGTTTACAGAGAACACACACACATATATATAAAACAATATAACAATCGGTGTTCAAAGACCTAGTCCAACTCCTCGGAGGTTAGGGTGCGTAACCAGGATACAGCACGCATTTTCCCTCTGAACTGCGACACTGAGGCGCTGGAACAGGAAACTGGCTGCTCGTGAGTCTTTAGTTTTCCCAATGAGTTCCTCGCCCATCTCTTTTAAGAACTTAAGTGCACATTTACCCCAGGCGCTCAGAGTCTCAGAGCCTATCGGCACGAACCTGTA